GCGGCCGTACGGCCAGCAGTAGGAAAGGGACAAAATTACACCAAGAGCTGAGACCCATTCTGTCTGGACTGTGGAACTGTGTTCAGTCTGGAAGCCAGGTACACCCAGCTGCAGTTCTTTGAAAACTCTGGGCTCTCTCACTAGTTTGCTGTGTGTCTTTAGTCAAGATACTATGCTTCTCTGAGCTTTAGCTTTCTCCTCTAAAAACTGCAGAAGTTTATTAAGGGATAAGTGATAGCAGGTTTTAAGTGTCTGATGAGGTTATTGGCACAGAGCAGGTGCTCAGTAAATGTGAGTTCCCTTGACTGACATATGCATTAGAGAAACTGGTATGTCGTACTGCAGCCTATAAAGTTAACCACTCTATTTGGAGATGACAACTGTCATTCTTGGATTAGGGGCTAATGGACCACCTCTGAATGTGTTCAGAAAGAAGTAAAAAGATGCAAATGACGTAGACCCAGAGAAACATCTGATTCACAAAAATCTTGGAATTGGAGAGGCTTTTTAGAGGTCATGGGGGCCAATTCCCCCACTAGGGGTCCCCGTGCTATTCTTAAAAAAATTTGAACTCCTGCACTCCTCAAAAAGTGATTGGGAAAAGATAAACCACAGGGCTGTTTACCAAGCAGAAATTCTTTCTCATAGGGGAGCTACCAAACCTCTTTCAATAAAAATTGTAATTATAACCACAACAACAAGACATTATGCTTAGCTTAATGGATATATATTTCCCACAGCCACTTTAGTCTATACAGGATTGTTACGCCCATCTTTACAATGGGAAAACTGAGGCTTCCATAGATGACAGAACTTGTCCAAGGTCATGCGACTGTAACTTGGAGGGATTTATAGGGTGCTGCAGCACAGCAACGGAAAGAAATTATTCCCATGACAGGAAGGTCAGAAACAGGATGGGAAGGTTGATTTGAACCTCGCAGGAAGAGTGAGGCTTCTCCTGGCAGAGAAGGGTAGGGAGGACATGCTGGGCAGAAGAACTGGCTTGAGCAAAGACAGAGAGGTTAGGAGACCGCCCCAAAGGCTATTCACGATGAATAATGACATAACAGTGACAGCTAACATTGATTAAGTGCTTCCTCTGCACCAGACATGGTGTTAAGGATTTTGCATGCATCATTTCTACGAGCTGGGCACTGTCATTACCCTTGTTCTGCAGAAGACATGAAGTGACTCATCCAAGATCACAGCTTGAAAAACCTTGGAACAGGCTTCTGAATTCTGGTCTACTTGATGCCAGGGTTCCTGGTGGCTTCAGATCGTTGAGTTCCCACTATAGTTAACAGAGAAACCTCTGCCCATATGCATGGGTGGTGGTGAGGGGGGATCCGAAGACATCCTACTCTGCTACACACACACACACACACACACACACACACAACCTCAAATTCCCTGGTGCCCATCAAAGTTGGTAGAAGGCAATCAAGAAGCTGACTGCCTAATAAAGATAAAGCTCTCTAATAAACTCACAGTCCTGAGGTAATGGGTTTGACTTTTAAAAGGTTGACAAAAGTCCCAGTGGAGGGACAGAGCTTTCCTATCAAGTGCTCATTCAGGATCATTGTAAAGGGGCCATTTCCTACAGGTGAGACGCCTGGATGCCTGGGTTGGCACTGAAAAAGGGCTACTTCTCTCCAAAGCTAGATGTCTCCTGTCTCCAGAGCTCCCTCTCTCCCACGGGGAATTTTCTGTCAGAGAAAATGATAATGACCAAAGATGGAGCCTCAGAGGTGAACCTAAAGTAGAGGGAATAGAAAATGTGTCATTTGAAAGCTTGCTGATGATTGGTACCAGTGCTGCAGAGGTGGAGACTTGTGAAAGCTTTCTGCTGATTGGTGGAGTTGGTACAGGCGCTTCTCCATTCATCCTGCCACCATTCGCATTGTCATTGCCATCACCATCCCCAAATAATATTTGTTGGTCATTTATTATATATTTTGGAAACATGCCAAGCATTTCACAACCCCCATCTAAAGCTGGTAATATTAACACCCCGTTAATGTTCCCCATCCTCAAATGAGAAAACTAAACCTTGATGATGTTTGATAACTTTCTGGGGTCCAGACAGCCCCAGAAGCTGCAAAGCAGAGATGTTCCCACCCATGTCTGTCAAGGCCCAATCGATACAATGCTTAAACATTGTTTTGTGTTCAATAGAGCGACAGAGAAAGACTGGGTCTGGGTCTATGTCTTAGACGAAATTTACAAGAAATAAAGTCTGAGAGAGGGATTGGATGCACATGAGTTTTGAGGGTATGCTCATGCTCTCAGGAGGAAGGGAGGAAGCGGGCAGGATAGGTCTGAGGGAGGAAGCTAAGGGAAGATACAGTTTCAACCAGAGTCCAACCGCAGCCCGAGTCCCGGAAGCGCACTGGAGTGTGGTTTGCAAGGTAGCCTTGGTCTGAACTTGAGGCAAGGGGGCAGGTCTTAGGTACACGGATGGAAGTTGGTCTTTGGCCATGGGCTGCAGCCTGGACAGGGGTGGGATAATCTCCTAAAAAGCAGCATCCAGAAGCATTTGCAGCCACCACTGACACCAACCTGGTAAATAGATCTGCACTCTGAATAGCCGCACCCACTCTGCAGTCAGCTGCAGGGGAACTGATGGTCCCCACTCAGCCCCGACTCCCTGGGTGCCTTTAAGTGTAGCACATGCTCCCTCAGGACTTCAGATTCTGCACATTTGGACTCAGTGCCCCCCAAGGGCTGGCGCAGCTCTGACAAGTTCTGACACTGATGTGGCAACACAGCCGCTGGCCCAGCATGGGACAAAGAAGAAGGGTCTCCTCTGGTGGCTCCAGCAGTATGATGCGAGGTATCTGACAGCTTCCCCCACTGAAGCCCTTTATCTCACTTCTCGGCTGTGTTATTTTAAAACTAACGAGCCCAGGCCTCAGGAGCTCATTGCCTGCTTGCTGCCTGCCATCCAGATTTGTGGCTTGTCTGCTCTGTCCTCTGCACATTTCAGTAGCAGCTTCCTCCCTGCTCGTTAGAAATTTTTTTCTCAGACCTCGGCCTTAAGTACCAGTGGGGCGGGTGTTTGTGAGTGTGTTTCTGTGTGTGTAACTCTCAGGAGCTCTCTGTCTCCGGTTCAAGCTGACACAAGTGTCCAGTGGGTGATTCTGGGTGGGACAGAGAACAATTTCATCTCCGGGCTATTGAGAGAGGAAAGGATGTGACACAGCAGGGAATGGAGATGGGATATTTCAGGTCCCAACGTAGCCACTCAGCTTGGTGGCAGGGAGCCGAGGCCATGCCCCAGTGGAAGAGCATCTCAAGGGACCCTCAAGGGCACTCCAACCTCCCTTAGAATCCATCCCTTGCCTGGGGCCGTCGGGAGAAAGGCAATCAGAATCAGCCGAAAGTGAGTCTGCAGAGGAAGGTTTTGCATGTGAGCCAAGAGACCTAGGGCTTCTTCCTGATTTTAAAGTGCTACCATGATCCAGACACTGTCTAGGTGCTGGGCATGTATCATCTCATTTCATTTGCACAAAAGCTCTGTGAGGTGAATATAACTGTACCCGCACTCAAAAAGTGAAAACACTTACCTCAGGTCACGCAGCTAGTGAGTGGCCAGGCAGAGTCCATCTGATGTCCACCAACCTCCTGGACTAGTAACTTAGCCTCCCCCATGCCACTTAGCTGGCTTCCTGCAGGAAATGTGCCTTTTCCCCATTCAGGACACCTCCTTTCTTGGGCAAACTTTATCCCTCTATGGTAATTACTTACCTTGCTGTGCCATCTCTTCTGCTGGACTGTCAATGTCATGTCTGGGTCACCTTGAAATGTTCCTCCAACAGAAGTAAAATGATGCATAGAAGGTGAATGAGTGGGTGAATAGCTGATGAGTGAATGGGTGAATGAACAAATGAATGAATAATAAATGAATCACTGTATCTAAATGAATGATCTGAAGCTGTGGGTCACGTTACAAGCCTTGTGAGAGCCAGTCCACAAGGTTAGGACACTTTCACTGAGCCATGGTGCTGTCCCCAAGCCTTGCTGGGACAATGTCTTCAGAGCTTACTTCCCTCTCCGAAGTTCCATCCCCTCTCACCAGGTGCTCTCTCTTGCTTCTAGAAGATCCCGTCCCCTGGCTTCAGATATTCTGCCCAAAGACTAACATCTCTCAAATGTATTTCCCAGCTCTGATCTCTCCCCTGAACCCTAGACTTGTACCCAACTGTCTCCCTGCCAGTTCCACATGGATGACTAAGTGCCACCTCAGAATTAATGTCTCCAAAATGGAGCTCCAGAGGACCATTCCAAAACACCTATCTATACCTGTTGTTGTTTCCAACTCAGTAACTGAGATCTCCATCATCCTAGTAGCTCAGTACGACATTTTGAAGTAGCCCCTCTCTTTCAAACCGTTTCCAGTCATGTGAAATGCTGCTCATTCTACCTTCACTATACAGCCAAGATATATCCATTACTCCCCACCTCTGCTGGGGGATCAAGTCACTGGTTTCCTCCATGTGGGTTTACTGCAATCATCCCTTCACTGGACTTCCTGCATCCCCATCAACTTATTTGTTGTGTACTCTACATCAAGCAGCCAACAGGATCCTTTAAAATCTAACTCAGATCATGGCTCTCTTTTATTCAGAACCCTCCAGTGGCTTATCATATCAATGAGAGGAAAAGCCACATCTTTGCAGTGGTCCACCAGATTGCCCATGAGCTGGCTCCTCGTTACCTCTCTGACGTCACCTTCTGCTATTTTCCGCCTTGCTCATTCAGATCCAGTCCTGCAGCTGGTTCTTGGTGAATTTTGTTTGTGGCTATCTCAGGGCACCCTCTGCCTGTTATGTTCTACCAGGTCTGTTCCAGGCTCACTCCATCATCACCTTGGAGTGTCTGTTATGTCACCTCAGTGAGGTCTTCTCTTGCAATTATCTCCCAGAACTAGAATTCTCTCTCCTTTACTCTGCTCTACCTTTTTGTTCTATAGCATTCATTGATGTCTAATAATCTACTCATTTACCACTTAATTATGTTTATTCTTTGCTATCCTATTTCTTTCACTCATTGTAGTAGAAAGCAAGTCCCATAGATTGGAATTTTTTTCCATTGTTCACTGTGGGTCCACAGGGCCCAGAACATGGCTGGCACACTGGAGGTGCTCGATAAATATTTACTGAATGAAGAACAGGTGAGACGTCTCTGGAAGCCCTCTTGGAACCAGTTTTCACTTTCTTGGGTCTTGAAACAAGCTTGTTCCTGCTCTGGACTCAGGGTTTCCTGTGAGACTGAAAGCTTCTTCCTTTTCCCCAGATGTCTTGCTTTCCTGGTCCCCCATCAGCAGAAGCTCTCATGATTCCTCAGAGCAACTGGCCTGGCACAATCCTTCCTGTGGCAGAAAACATAATCAGCAACTACCTTCCTCAGGGAATCCAAACCCTGTCTTCAATTCCAGCTGATAAGGAGGTCCTGAGCGGGTCCTGGGCTGGGGTGAGAGGTGTTATTCTTGCCCTGGCAACAGCTTGGCAGAATCAGGGCTTGAACCCAGGTCAGCAGAACCCCTGGACCCATGTGCCTTCCCAGTGCTGGCTAATGATACTTTGCAACCCATTCAATTAGAAAACCATACTATTCTAGTGCAGGGGCATCCTGCTTTACAGGCAGTCCCAACGATCAAATCTAATCCTCTTCTTCTCAGCAGTTTGATCTCTTGCTGCAAATGGGCAATCGCCACGCTGGCCTGTGGAGGGAGAAATGACTGGGTGGTTTGGGGGGCTGATGGGAAGGCAGGAGATGGATGTGTTTCATGATGAGTTCAAAACCCAAGCAGGTTTGAAGCCTGACCTACTTTGCTGAGCTGGACAAGAAATGCTGAGCTGGTTTTCCTCCTTATGGTTCTTTTTGTCCTTTGACCTGAACTTGAGAGCCAGAATCAGGCAATTATTGATATTCAAGTGTGTTTGTCTCATACACAGATACACACACAAACACATGCACACTCACACGCACACACTCATGCGCTTCCTCTCAGGACTGAGATATGAACAAACTATTTTTATCCGTTGTCTAAGCGGGGAGCATGATAATGAACCGTGCTTGTCTACAAGGGTCAGCCTTCAGAATCAAGTCTAAATCATCTGTAGCAGCTTCAGTGTGGCTACTCAGAGTGTGGTCCAAGGGACAGCAGCATCACCCAGAAGTGGCCAAAAATGCAGAGGCTCAAGCTCTCATCCAAACCTACTGAATCAGCATCCACAGGCCAAAAGCGCCCAGGTGATTTGAGTCCACCTGGCCCTGATGGATTCAGCCCCTGCCTCCATTCCCAGTCTCAATTCTTGCCTTTCACTTTCCACTCCAGCTGTCAGTTCGAACTTACTGCATCTTCTGCAGTCATATGAAGCTAGGCCTTTGCACCTGCTCTTCCTTATTACTCCACTTTCCTGTCTAGTTTCCATTCATCCTTTAGAAAACTCACCACGACCACCTGCCCACATTCCCCACGCTGGGTTAGGTGCTCTCTCTAGTTCCATGGCTCCCTAATCCTTTGTCAGAGGATTTTGTTTTATCGTTGTAATTCCTAGTACAGGAATCTGTCTCTCTTTCCAGGGTATGAACTTCTGGATGGCAGATACTATGTCTTTTGATACTTTGGAGCTCTTGAAATCGAATGCTAAGTAGATGCTCACTAAACAACTGCTGGATAATAAATGAAACAATGAAGGAGAGGCCAGCCTCATAAAACTTTCTTAGTTTTCCTTCAGTTTTCACCAAAGGGAGCATGACTGCCCCTGAATCCAATGACACCCCCCCACAGCAGCTCTAGAATCTCATCTTTTCTCAAGCTCTGATGCTTTTTCCAGCTGTGACAGGTAGGAAAGCTCAAAAGGTCATGATTATCTCCAGCAGATTATTGCCAACCAGGCTTAATTAAGTAGATTAACCTTGAAAAAGACTTGGAGTGCCAAGACTTCAGGCCAGGATATTAACACAGCCCAGTCTGAAGGGACAAATTAGCCATATCCATCTTGCCCTGGGCTCAGCTGGCCCCTTGGTGAAGCCTGTGCTTTCTAGTGGGTACGTGAGCAGCACAAAGGACTAGGATTTCATTTTCTACTGTAACCAGCAGATGGCGGGGGGGTCTTGCAGGTACAGGGAAAAGGGCGGATCACTCCTAGCCTTGGGTGCAAGCATCAAGCGTGTGTGTGTTCCTGAGCCCTGCTTGGGAAACAGTCCCTTTGATTCTGTAGGTGTCAGGGTCTTCAGCTGTGCAAGGGAGGTAGAGCCACCACTGCATACCTTTCAGGGGATTGTCAGCATCGGTTGAGACATGGGAAGAGCTGCTAGTGGGACTGGGGTAATCAGGGTTCAGGGATGTCCTGAATCTAATGGCCAAGTGCATTTCTCTTTGTGGGACATACAATTTGGAGCTCACCTTGAGGTCCAAGTCCTCTGCAGACACACAAGGCAAGTCTCTGTCTCATAAGCAAATTAACAAGTTTCCCACTCCATCCCCACTCACTACTTCCTTCCATTTTGCAAGTATTTTGGGGTCTCTCTTCTTTTTGTCAGCTGATTCTTAAAAGCAGGCGGAGCTGCTGGTGTTCTGGCCATGTAACATCTCTGGCATCAGTTTCTCCCTCTGTGCAGTGGGTCTGACTCTGTGCCTGCTCCTAAGTTTCCTTGGAAACCGCAGTAAGGTGATTAGCAAGAAGCGCTCATCTTGGTGTCTGGCATGCAGTAGGTGCTTCATACATGCTAGCTGCTCTTACGATCGAGTGGTAGGAACACAGCACCGGACCGGGAGTCACACGGGCAAAATTCCAGTCATGGCTCTGATAGGAGGAACTGTGGGTTTGGGCTGGTGCGCTTGCCTCTTGGGGCCTCAATCTGCCCACTGTAAACAGAAGTAGACTGGACCTGGGGCTCTTTCCACCCCAACTTTGTCCCTGATGGTGAAAATGATGTTAACTCAGTCTATGGCTTGGACAACAAGGATCTGCCCGCGACCCTGGGCTACAGGAGCACTTCGTTGAGAGCAGCTGGAAGTCCAGCTCTGTGAGCAGATGTTTTGATGGGGGCGGGGAGCAGGGAAGAGGCCAGGGATCCAAGAGATTTAGAGAGTTTTACAGAAAGTTCAGCCTTGACTCTTATCAGATGCTGGGAATCTGCCAGTTGCCATGACGACAGCAGCAGCCTCTAAGCTCCAGGTCACTGATTAGCAGGAGCACGCTGGGTGGGGGTAGGGGGCTGCAGGATTCAGCGTGGGTGGCTCCCCTCCCTCTGTGAAGTGGAAGGTGCAGGCCCTTGACTCCTCCGCTTTAGCTGTCCCCTGAAGATCATGCCTTCTTTTAAGTTTTTTTTAAAAAATTCAACATGGAAGAGTTCTGTGGTGAAAACTAGGTAGCAGCCAGTATTGTCCAGCAAAAGTGGAACACAGACTTCTATTTGAGGCCTAAAAAAGGATTCAAAGCTGAAAGCTGCGAAGATAGGGGGCTGCGTGCAGCTGAGGTCTGATTCTGCTAAAGTGCTTATGACTTTGGATTGCTCTCCCTCCCAGGACCTTTGCCTTTTTATCTGTAAGAAGAAGTTGGATCTGATCTGTGGTTCCCACAAGGGATTGGTCATTAGAATTCACTTTTTTGTTTGTTCCATCCATCCATCCATCCATCAATCCATTCGTCCATCCATTGGTCCATCCTTCCATCCGTCCATCTGTCCATCCATCCATCTATCCATCCATCCACTTATTCAACAAAAATTTATTTAGCAGAAAGTAGAGTACCTCAGGAACTGTACCTCTGCAGAGTCAGTGGCAAGAACAGAGATGTTTTCCTTCTCATGAAGCTTATTTTCTAGTCCAGAAGATAATCAGTTGGGCAGTAACCCTATAAAAGGATAATTCCAAATAGTAACAAATATTATGAAGAAAGATACCGCAGATGCCTGTAATTCCTATCACAGCTGAAGAGGGGAGCAAGATGAAATAGGGGAGCTCTCAAGAAGGTGACACTTGAATGAGGAGGAGGAGCTGACCATGAAGAGAGCTAGAAAAACTGCATGTCATATGGCGGAAAATAGCAAGAGCAAAGGCCCTGAAGCAGAAAAGCTTCTGACCTATTTGAGCCACAGCAAGGAGGCCATGTGTCGGCAACAGTTGAAAGAACTGAGAAAGGAACAGGAAATGGGGCTGAGAGGGACCCTGAGGCCAGATCATGCAGGGACTTTGGATTTTAGTCATGATCTGATAAGAAACAGAAATCACTGGGGTATTTATTTAATGCACAGATTCCTGGGTTTACCCATTCAAAACTTTCATTTCCTTGGGATGGGACCAAGGTATCTTTATTTTTAAAATCTCTTTGTGGGCCTCTGATATTGTGCCAGATTTGGGAAACCCTGGGACACATACTCTTTGAATATCTTTCAGTTTTAAGGAAGCTGAGAAGCAAAGTGTTAGAGCATCTTGAAAAAAGATCTTAAATGTTACGCTTTGGAGTATTCCCTTCCTCCTTTCCTCAGCACTTCTTGTCTGACTCATAGAATTAATTATATTTCTGTTTGTTTTATTGCAAAATCCCAAGTGGGGTATCCAGCCCTAGAAGGTGAACTAAGTACTATGGGAGAAAAAGAAAAATCTACATACCCAAAGGGTATAAAGTTACATAAATCCCTGCCACATCATGGGAACTTTTTCTCATTGAAGCAAGATCAAAGCTCCCCACCTCTGAACCTGACCCGCCCAGCTGGCAATGGTGGTTGAGACACTGTCTCTACACTAAGTCATAGGCCCCAGTGGCCTGGAAAGAGAATCCGTCAGCTTCCCCTCTACTTCAGATAACTCATGCCTCTACTTCCTTCGTCAGACACTTTGAGAGCTGCCACTCAACACCCCCACATATTTATTTATTGCCAACCACTTCCCATGAATTCTCAATTTTTGCCTATCATGAAATTGCTTCGGGTGTACCTTTGTGGGTCTCGGTTTTCTACAGTGCCCTAGAGAATCCAAACGCATTTTAATGTGTCTCCAACTCCAGGCTATGCTGGGCAATATGCATAAATTAATGAGCTTTCTGATCACTTTCCTTTAAAAAAATAAGATGGAGGATAGAAAAGACAATAAGAATCTGAGTAGACTGAGGCTTTGGCTGAGTTATCTACCTTCTTTGGATCTCCATCCATCCCACCAACTCTGATGTGAAGGGATGAGAACAAAGCATTTCAAAGGCCCTTTCCAACTTTCTGAAGTGAATGTTCTCTAGCTCTCTGTTTGCTTTTTCATTTGTTCATGGAACAAATATTGCTGAGATGGAACCTTGACTAAGCAGCAGACACCGGGCAGTCACATTGAGTTCTATCCCCAGGGAGCTCAGAGTCTAGAATGAGAAGAGACAACACATTATTAACAGGTGTGTTCAGCATAGCAAAAGGACTACAGTAGCCTAGAAAAGGTGCTAGATCTCCCTGCAAAAGCTTGTTTCCTACACTGCCTTTGCCATTTCACCAGTAGATAGCACATCAGTAAATTACTGATTCCAGTTGTTTCAACTGGATTCCAACTTGTTCCAGTTGCCAGTCACATTACTGATTCCAACTTGTTCCAGTTGCCAGTCACAAACCACTCTTAGCATCATTCCAGATTTCTTCTTTTCTCTTACTCTCTTGCTTCCCACATTCAACCAACAGTGAGTGATGTTGGTACATCTTTCAAAATCTGTTAGAATCTGACTGCATGCCATCACCTCCATTGCTGCTGTAGTGCTCTGATCCTGGGTTGTTGCCATACTCTCCCCAACTCTTCTTCCCTGCCTTCCACCTTGTCCCTCAATCCCTAGACAGAGCTTTCTAAAACATGAGATGGACTTTCTCACTCCTCTGTTCAGAAGCCTTTGCATCACAGCTACAGGGAGCCCAAAATCTTCTCCTGACTTGAAAAGACCTGATCTCTGATCTCACCCCTTACTGCTTTGGCTTCTTGCTAGCTACTTTATATACGCTAAGCATCCCTAACCATACCTTCTGCCTAGGGTGTAGTTACCCTTTCCTGCAGGCTGCAGTAAACTACTCCAAACCTTTGTGGCTGAAAACAACAATCATAGTTTCTGTGGGCACAGAATTTTCCTGAGTGGCTCCGAGTCACCATCTTTCCTGAGGTTGTAGTCAGACAGGGCTGCAGTCTCATCTGAAAGCTTGTCTGGAGCTGGAGGATCCACTTCCAAGGTGGCTCACTCCCAGATCTGGCTGTTAGTAAGAGGTCTCATTTCTTCACCTGGTGCTGCCTGAGTGTCCCTACATGTCAACTGATTTCCACCAGAACAATGAATCCAAGAGAGCAAAGCAAAAGCTGCTTCAGGTGACCTAGACAGAAAGCCACACATCCATCCTGTTCATTAAATGTGAGTCACTAAGCCCATCCAATATTCAGGAGGACAGAAATTAATTTCATATAAAAGGATCTGTGAATATGAAATTAATTTCATATAAAGGACCTGTTCTAAACTACCCAGGCTTCAAGGTTAGTCCCTAATCCTTCAAGTCTCAAAAAGGTCTTCTTTGATTACTATAAGCAAAACGGCAGCCTCTTCTCCCATTTCCCAGCCATGGTGCTGCTTTATTCTTGCCATCACTGGTTACCATTCAGCAAGCCATTTTTTTTATTTACTGATGTGCTACCTTCTTTCCCATCTAGGATGTAAACTCCAGGGTCAAAGTAGACATCTCTGTCTTGTTCACTGTTTTTTCTTTTTGAGACAGATTTCGCTAAGTTTCCCAGTCTGGCCTCCAATTCCCGATCTTCCTGCCTCAGCTTCCTGAGTACCTGGGAGACATGCACCACCATCTGTAGCTACTGGCATTTCTTCTCTTGTTTACCGCCTCCCCACACAGAGGCATCCCACACACATTATGAGCTTTCACAGAACTGGGGTAAATGAATGGAAGTTAGCCTGGGCCACCACAAGTGTGGCATGTGGCCAGCTTTGCTGCATGATAGCCTGAAATCTTGAGCTTTGAGTTGTTGGAGAAAAGCCAAGATAACATGACACATAGATAAATGGGCAGGAATGAAGGCCCTGAGATGGAGCCCTCATCATAGAGGAAATGGGGCATGGAGGTTCAGGAAAACCACTCCTGAACAGGACAGAAGGGAGTTCTAACAACTTGGATTGGCAGGGAGGAAATCTGGGCAGCCCTAATTAGAATCTCTGTCCCTCCTGGGCTTCTGCTGTCTCCCTGACTCTGCTTTTAAAGATGGATGATAAGCAACTGACAGAGATGGATGTGTTTTTCTGCCTTTCCTTGAATACTGACTGGGCATGACTCTCTTCCCTGGAAACCCTAAGGAGCAGGGGGCTTATCAGATGCATTTATTCTGAGTCATAAAACCAATCCTGATACAGGAGCCTGGTTGCAGGAGCCTGGTGGATGAGAAATGCCCATGCCTTTGATCAGTGCTTGATCCAAGGGTCTGAAAATAGGTGCACAAGAAGGGAGGGCTTGCACTGTACCAAATATACCTGTGACTTCAAACTCCTGAGTCTTCCTTATTAGAAGCTGGGAATTTGAGTGACAGGCTCTTAAAGGTAACTTCCTGTCCCCTTCTAGGACTCAGATAAAGAGGTGGGGCCCACCAGTGACATCCAAATATTATTTGAAGCTTATATCAGGGGCCACAGAGGGAGTTTCAGGCTTTCATGGGAACTGCTGTCTCAAGTAGGTGACCTCACACCTCTTAGGATTAGGGATGATTTGTTTATAAGAAAGTAAAAGGGAAAAAATAAAAATCAAATTTAAATTAAAAAAAAAAAAACAACAACTGAGAAAAGCCACTTTCTAGACCTTTTTGTTTCCATAAAGAAAAGGACAAAACTTTCTCTTCAATGAACAAAAGAAACGAGTATAAACGAAATAAATTAGCGCTCATCTTAAAATATTTTTGAAACAATAGAGAATTCGGGGAGTTATTTAAACTTATTTCCTATGTTCGTATCTTCTATTTTGCTCATTCTCTCTTCTCAGTTGATGAGAGACAGACAGACAGACAGACAGACAGAGATTGATTCTCAGTTGACTGCAAATAAATGAAACCTCAAAAAGTGAAACCAGGGGTGAGAAGAGACAGATAAGGCAGAGAAATGCAACAGAAGTGGCAAAATGCAGTTTGAGCTAATGGTATCACACTCGGCCTGTAATTACGTCCTGAGAAAGGAAATGAAAAATTTCTGGGTAGTTTAGTCAGGCCAGGATAGTGTGTGCTACAGTAACAAATAAACCCTGCAATCTGAATATCTTAATCTAATGAAGGTTTATTTCTCTCTTGTAAAGTTTGATGTGGCTCAGGCATTTCTGCTTCATCAAGTAGCTTCACCTTTCTGAATATAAATATCCCTGGTCTCTGTGACAGAGGGAGAGAGAGGTGGAGAAGGCACATAGATCTTGACTGCCCTGAATTACAAATGATGCCTCACTCCACTCAGTGATAATTAGCCAAAGGTAATCTAAAGGCCTAAATGTAATTGTAAAGGAAGCTGAGAAATAATAGAAAGAGTGAATATTTCATGAAAAATATCTCTATATGTCTTAATATTTTGCCTCCTTATTTTTTCACTTGTAGGACAGAGCCCCAGAGCAGCCCCATGGTCCCAGCCCAAGATGGATCTTCAGGAAAGCTGGGCCAACGTATGTTCACCGAGGCCTTAGGCACAAACAGCTGGGAGAGAGACAAGGCCTGTCGGGAACTGGGTCCTGCCAGAGCACGCAGGTGAGATGGTGTTTCCTTACACTCCTGTCCGGTGGAAACATTCAAGTTGAAGATACAGGAATGAAGTTTGTCTCTCTGACCGTTCTCTTCTTCCTCTTTTATAAAATTCTTTCATATCCTTGAATCCAAGATTAGTAAATTGTTTCTATAGTGGGCCAAATAGTAAATATTTCAGATCTGTAGACCTGCTGGTCTTCTCACAACTACTTAATTTTGCATTTGTGGTACAAAACCTACTGTAGGCATTATGCAAACAAATAGGCATACCTAGTTCCAATAAAACTTTATTTATAAAGACAGGAAGCAGGCCACATTTGGCGCATCAAACAGAGCTTGTTGACTGCTACCTTCCTTAAATGAAAGAACTCCTCTCCATTTTAGTGATTCTATTAACCTTTGATTCCTAAATCATAGTTCAGCCCAGATTTGCCTCCTGGGTTCAGATCCTTGTATTCATTCCTTAATTCAGTTATTCAACCAATTCTTTTTGAACACCTGTATGTATTGGGTGCTGTGCTAGCAACTGATGACACAGCATTTTACTGATGCTTGGAGAGGTGAGAGCTGTCTTGCCCGATATATGGCAGTCTGTAAGTAGCAAAGTAAAGTTTTGAACTCCAGGCTCTTTGATCCTAAGTCCTAGACTAACACCCACCACATTGTCCTGCAGATGCTAATGAAAAATCAGCCTCTCTGCTTCTGTCTATTTTGCAATTTTGTTGCTTACACATATAAAGGTATGGCCTGCCTTTGGTCTATGGAGAACTTGAATATATTTGCAGTACTATCTTTATAACAGCTTCACCGGCTGGATTAGAGCTTGATGCCTACTGCCCTATTAACCCACCATGCTCATGTGCTCTGAGCCTGTACCTAACCCCAGTGACAGGTGGAAAATGAACCTAGAGTCCTGCTTCTTGATGTGAAATCAAAGAGTATCAAAGCCATTCTATAGATGAAGAAACTTAGGCCCATTGAAAGCAGGACTGAGATTAGCCTGAGGACCCCTGACCATGGCTTAAATTCTCTTCTTCCATTCTGGAGCTCTTGATTTACTAAGGCAGAGGTTAAAAGCCATACTGAGTATCCACCTGAGAATTAGATGAAAGCTGTGAGTGTTGTCTGTGCTTCAAGAATACCCTAAAAATTCTGTGTAAAATTTTAGAAGGTTCATAGACCCCAGAGGCTGATGAACAGGGACCCCTAGGTAAAGGCCCCAATTAATGAATTTTGAAGGCAGAGTAGCTGTCACTGATTAAGTTGCTGCTCCCACTGCCAGCCCCCTTACACACCCCCAGCCCAGGTTATCTCAACCGCAGGTTTTGATTTCAATAAAAGAGAGACAGTTAAATTGGACCATCTCTTCGGAAGTGAAGTTCAATATCCAACCTGGAGAGTACTCCCCAGGAAACAGGAACAAAGCAGCTTCCACAAGAAGCTGAGGAGATGGAGAGAGGAGGGAGAAAGAAGGGAATTCCTGAACTTTTAAAAGAGCATCTTCCAGATGGCCAAAAGGAAGTCCATATATTGTAGAATCGTGTGTTCACATTTGGACACTACCACTGACCAAATGAATGAATATAGGAACATTCTTTATTCTCATTGGGTTCAGTTTTCACAACTATAAAGGGGGAATATTTAAATCTCATTCTCAAGGGTATGGTGAGGATTAAATTAGGTCAGGCACATGCAGGCCCTTGTGGTGGGTCTAGAATATAGGAAGTTTTTTTAAAAAAATCTTAAGAGTTTCATGAAACCATTCTGGACACAGACTCTGAAAATTGCTGCCATGTTGCCAACTCAGTCATATGGCATCTGGGCCTCTTAATCCCTTCTATCTGTGACTGACTCTCTGATGTGTTAAAAATCACGACAATAATGGTAATAATATTAATAGTGATAATAAAAGTCATAATAATTATACTACAGTCATGCATCACTTAATGACAAGGATACATTGTGATTAATTTATACTTGAGAGATTTCATCATTGCGCAAACATCTCAGAGTATCTTACACAGGCATAGATGGTATAACCTCTACACACTCAGGCTATATGGTATATATGTGTGTGTGTGTGTGTGTGTGTGTGTGTGGTATAGACTGTACATTCCAGTAAGGCCATGCTGAATAAAACAGCACAAGGTTAAATCAATCACAAGAAAAAATGAGGTAAATATGAAATTATGAGGTTGTGTTTGCCTAACACAGCATACTGTTTTACAGTACAAATTCTGTTTATAAACTGGAGTACATTCTAACAATAAACATATAGTGTAGTAAATCCGTAAGTCACTAAACAGTAATTTATTATCATCGTCAAATATTATATAGTGCACATAATTGTATGATTTGTACTTCTCTTTTTTTTTTTTTTTTTTTTTGGTTTTTCTCCGGTACCGGGAACCGAACTCACGACCTTGCGCTTGCCAGGTAGGCGCTTTTGCCGCTGAGCTAAATCCCCAGCCCCATGATCTGTACTTCTATGTGCTTGGCAACACAGTAGGCTTTTCTACACCAGTATCCAGACACACACACACACACACACACACACACACACACACACACACACATGAGTAATGCATCGCGCTGTGATGTCACCAGTCAATAGGAGTTTTTCGGCTCCATTATCATCTAATGAGACCGCTCTCCGGCATTGATCGAAAGGTCATTATGTGGTGCATGACTGTAACAAAAGACCCTTTTACTGTAAACATACTCTGTGCTGGGCCAGAGCACATTCCACAAGTCAGCTCCTTATTCCTGGCAACAACTTATGACACCCGAACCACATTTTATTTTCAACATTTAGATGATGAAAATAAAACTCAAAGAAGTCTCTGAAGTAGGAAGTAGGAGAACTAAACTTTGAAGCCAGTTTGTCAGGTTCTACACTATATATTTACCCACTGTGTATTGAATCATTGCATATTGTCTTAATCACTTTCTCATCACTGAGATGCTCAACATCCACAACTTGAAGATGTTTATTTTAGCTCACAGTTTTGGTGGGTTCGTTCCATGGTTGGCAGGCTCCCAGGCAGGGATGGCACCGTGGAAAGGCCTTGGCCGTGAGAAGCTGTTCATGTCATGGCTACCAGGAAGAAGAAAGTAAAGGGAGGAGCTAGGAAGGAAGATATACCTTTCCGGGTCACAGCCCCAGTGACCCACCTTTTCCAATCAGGACCCACCTCCGAACACATTCAGTCTCTGATCTTACCAGTGGATGGACCCACCCATGACTGCAACACACTCATGATCCAGCCAGCCACCTTTCGAAAGCCCCACTTCTGACAACATGAGAATTCTGGGGATAATTCCTTCTTTTTTTATTTTTTGAGACAGGGTCTCAGTATGTAGTTCAAACTAGCCTTGAATTTACTGCATGACCCAGGCTGACCTCAAGCTCACAGCAATCCTCTTGCCTCACCTTCCAAGGGCTGGGATTATAGGTGTGTGCTACCGTACCCATGGAGGTCATTCTTGATTTAACACCAACACATATATAATACCTGCATACATAACCAAACCAATGCATACTTCACTACTGCATATATAACCACTGAACAACTCATCATCACTGCATACTTATCCTTTGCCTACTCCACCTCTCTATGCTTAACTACTGCATAGCTTATCAGTACAAAGTTAGCTGGCACACAGGTGGCAAAGGTAATCATTGTGTTTAACTATTGTATCTGTAACCACAATGTATACAAGCATTGCTTTCCTAACTTCTGCACACATAACCATGGTGCACTTTACCATTATTAAGCCCCTTCCCGCCCTCTCTGGTGCACACCCAGGAGAACTAGTGCAGGGGAAAGAAGTAGAGGAAATGTATCTCCGTCTGGGCAAGGGAACTGAGGAATTATTAAAGGAGTGGATTAATTGCCTCAAATACTTCAAATCTGTCCACATTTAACAATCTTTGCAGTTTTTCTCCATAACTTAAAGCTAATTCTCAGATAGTGGTTCTCCAATTGTGCTCCCCTGGGACCATGGGGTTCCAGAAGTTAAGAGCACTTGACTAAAACAGTGGGAAATCTTTCTTCATTTTCCAAGACATAATTTAAAAATCTTTTAAAATGTTTTTCTTAAGTATTTCTCCCCTAATTTTTTGCCCTCTCAAATTCCTGGCAGCTGCTGCACTGGGAAATGTTCATAGGAAACATGATGGTTTAACAAGTAGCTAAATTATTTCTCCCATTCATCCCTCATTTGGTCACTTGACAGATATTTATTAGACTCTTGCTGTCTGTCGAGCACTCTTTGGAGAAAAAATTTGGAAGTGGTCCACCACATGTCTGTAAAGCAGCCTGTTTGCTTCCCAGTAACTGTTGGAAATATGTATATTATGATGAAGAGACCTTAACATGTATTCTAATCACTTAATCATTCTTCTGTTAATCCCAGTGACCCAAATTTTTATAATAGAATTAAATACGGAAGTATTTTATGATGGTTTATAAGAAGTTGGGTACTTTGTAGCTCTGGCCACACAAACAAGTTTGAGAAAGCAGCTGGGTTAATAGCTGTTTTCCTGTTTGTTTGTTTTTTGGTACCGGGTGTCCAACTCAGGACCTTACACTTGCCAGGCAAGCACTTGTGCCACTGAGCTCTCTCCCCAGCCTCAAGCAGCTGGGTTGAGAAAGCTTTCAGGGTACAAATCTCCTAGGTTCCAGTCTCAGGTTAGATAACTCCTAATTCTATAGGCATAGACAAGTCAGTTCAACTTGCTGAATCTTGTTTTCTTCATCTGTAAAGTAAAACAATAAAAATACCACTCTTAAGACTTTTTAATGAATATCAAAACACATAAAACTCTTTACAGATAATAAATGCATGTGTGCTAGTTTAGTTGCTATTCAAACAATGATAATAATATTAATTATGTTTTCCCAGTAAGGTTCAATTGGGTAGGCATGTATCAATTCCCAAGCAGTTTTTCATCCAAAACCATCTCTCTTTGCGATAAGATAGTGTTTTTTAAAAATCCCTGGAGCCTGCCCCAATTATAAAAGAAGATAACTTGACTTCATTTAACTACAGCCTGAGCATTTGAATTTAATTGAATGGGAAATAATTATTACTGAAGAGCAGAGGTTTTTGAGGCTCCATAAGGTGATATAAGATATGTATCTCATTACGTTAGACCTCGGCAAATATACTTTTAATAATCAGCCGCTCCTTAACGTACTTTCCGCCTCCTATTAAATTTCCAACAAAAACTACAGACAGGATGGATCCGGGAGGGAAGGGGCTGAACTGCCAATTAATTATTTAAAAAGTGATTTATTTACCAAGGTGAGCCATTTGCAAATTCAATAATAAATCTATTACGGAGTAGTTAACCTCTATAACTCTGTTTTAAATAATCAATTGGTGTTTGGGTAACATACAGTGTCCTGCTCATTAGGTTGGCATTAAGCCTTTATTTGAGGCACTTAATCTGAAGTGTGACCAAGTCAGCCATGAGGTGGTAATTAGGTATTCGCTATGGGTCCCTGATCCTCCAAAGAGCTTGGTCCTTCTCCTTCCCTGGCTGCAGCAGCCCTGATTGAGGGGTTAGGGAATCTTTAGTCCCCTGATGCCACACCTATTGCTGCCCACAGTGCCTCCCGGGACAGAGACTTGACTCCACCACCTTCCTCCAGGGGGAAGAAGAAAAAGAAAAAATCAACCCGGAAGAAGAGAAGGAGGTGAGCTCAAAGGGGACAGGAAACCTTAAAGATGGGAGAAATTGACAGCAGAGGGGCAAATAATACTGGTTTTGGAGTCCAACAGTGACTTCCCCTTTGGGTTCAGACCCCTTTCTGCCTCTTAACTGGCTGCATGACCTTGGACTTCATTTCTCTGGGCCTTTTTCCTTTTTTGCAAAAATACTAACAGTAGTTGCCACTTGGGGTTTTGTGAGCATTAGATGAGAAATGGATGCGGAAACAGCTGTCACAGTGCCGGGCACATAGTAAATGACCAATTAATGCGGAGTAAAGTCATTATCATAAATACTGAATTTTTTTTTGAGTGCTTGGCTTAATGCAAAAGATTATGCTAAGCACTCTGATCTGCATTTTCTTTTTACTCCTGACCAGGATCTACCAGGCAACCATTATAGGGATGAGAAAAGAAAGACTCAGAGATGGGGTTACAGAATCTGCAGGACTTGATGCCCAAGCTCCTCAGTTGTTCCTACTACACCCACATACCAGGTTAAATGCCTAGAATTATAATGGATGGGCTTTATATTATTTGCCAGCTAGTGACTCTTTTGTACTCTGTATATTCTTTTCTATACATAATTCCTTTTCAACTTCTTACACTTAAAAAGATTTTGAACTTTGCTTGTGGGCTGCCACTCAAGAGACTAAAAACATGTCTAGTTTTTTAGTCCCGGAAGTCTGGGCTTTATCCCCTAGGGCTTCCCCCCTGAGAATCCCATCAAAGCTTGGATGCAGTGTTTATAGAAGTCTGCAGGGGGCAGCAGAGAGCAACGTCTGGACCATTTGGGCTTCAACTCTAGGTTTTCTGGAGCCCTGCTTCCTAGACACCCTGTTAGTCTAATTCTAAAAGGACAAGCCCAAAGAGGACCCAGAGGGGACCTGAGTGAGGACCCTATGTTCTTGCCACTATAGGGCAGGAAACGGAATTGGGGTAAGTGACTTGGTTTTAGGAGTTAGTAAGTTCAAAGAAGGAAACTGATCATTAGGATTCTCTAATGTTCATTCAATAAGTGTTCACTGAGCACATGTTTGGGGACAGACATTTTGATTCCTTAAGAGACAAGTTATACCTCAGCCATTTCTCTCTGATAACATATTTTGTTTCACTTGCAAACGGTTTTGTTATTTCTTTTTAATTAGTGGCTAAAGTTTAAAACCCAGAAGTTTTCATATAAAACTATGGACTTCTGGAGGATTCTAATGAAAAGGCAGGTGCTTTGGAAACCCAAGGCCCACATTCTCACACCGGAAGCAGCCACCCCTCCAGCCAGGCGCTTTGGTTCCTTGCAGTCCCCAGCACTCCCTGTCATCTTCCACCAAATCTGCTTTATGTTTTGGAGAGGGTCCCATGGGCATTGAGTATACAGCATCTATGCCAACCCTAATCTTTTGCCACTGGGGGAAATAACAGACCTAGGGACAAGCCACTGTGTCCCTGAGGTGACTCTGTCAGTTGGTGGTAGAGTCAGAATTGGAGCTTGGGTCACTGAGCCATCACCATGAATACAGGGCAGCTTTTTTCTCAGGTGCCCAAGCAGCTATGCTCTGACTGCTTGGTGAGACCTTGTCCAGGGATTCAGTCTTATCGGGGACATAAGTCTTATTAAGCTGAGGTAGAGGAGAGACCCACAGAATATGTGAAGAGCGTCATAGCCGAGCAGGAGAGCAAAATCCTTAGGATGAGAGATTTCCACTTGAATCCCAGCTCACCCACTTATTAGCTGTGCATCTTTAGGAAGGTCGGTTCACTTCTCTGGGCCTCACTTTCATTGTCTAAAAATGGAGGGTAGCAATGTTACCTAACAGAGGGATTAGATGAAATATTGTATATAAACTATATGGTAATATTTAAGACAAATGCAAGCTACAGTCAGTACTGAAATTACCCTTGATGGATGGTTCTCAAAGAGCCAAGATCCTGGGTAGGGGTTGGGGAAGCGATTCTAGAAACCTCCCTATGAAGTATGTCTTCCTCCCCACAGGTCCCCATCCTATAGCCCATCACCTGTCAAGAAAAAGAAGAAGAAAAGTTCCAAGAAACATAAGCGACGCAGGTATTGTCCTTCCCCCTCTGCAGATGGAGTTATCCCAGTTTGGATAGAGGTTAGGGCATCAGAAGGTCATTTGGAAGCAGCTCATGGCATTTATGTGGCATATTTACTATACCTATGTTTTGTTGTTTATTTGTGTCTAGAAGTTGGGACTGTATTTGGGAGGACCAGAGGTAGCTAAAGCTAACCGTAACCAGAAAGGAGAGACTCAGGGACTGAGCAGGCCTAGGTGAGGGGCTGGGACCAGAGTGGAGAGCTAACAGAAGTCCAGCAGGGTCCAGAGCCTCCTCTGCTTCCTGGTCCATGTGAGGGGACAAGGTCACTCCCTGTCCTATCTCTCCATGTTGCAGGTCAACCCACAAGCAGACCCTGACCTCCCTGTCTTGTTTCCTATTCCAAATTCCCAAGAAGAGGCCTCTCATGAGAGGGGGCATCTGTTTCATTGTGGGCTGGACCATGTTGGAAAACATGGCTGCTTGGATGGCCCACCATTTTGGTGGGGGGCAGGGCATTATGAACTGGAAAATAGTGTCTATCACACACTCACACACACACACACACACACATATATATTTGGAGAGGAGCTGGAAGAATAGACACCAGAGGGTTCCAATCATATTTCACGGGCCGTGTTAGACTTGGAGATTTTGCAGTGTGAAAATCCAGTGTCACAGTGCCTCTGTACAGAAAGTTCTGTCTTCATGGGCCGTTTCCCACAGACAGCCGTCACCTGACGCCAAGTAGCTACTGTGCATTCAGAAGGAGCAGCCTTCCAGCCTGTTCACACTGACACACATTTCGCAAGCCCTCTAGTTAGCTGTGGGTAATAGGAAAAGGTTGTTTGTATTTTATTTTGCTTATTTTTGTCTTCTAATTCTACTACTTGAGTTGTGGATGGGGGATCTGCTTATGGGTTGAAATTACCCTTGATGGGTTGAAATTACCCATCTGTGGCCTTGTCCCCTCCCATGGACCAGGAAGCAGAGGAAACTCTAGACCCTGCTTGACTTCTATTAGCTCTCCACTCTTTGGTGAACTTTGAATGATTTGTGCAATTAAACAACCATGGAACCAAAGGTAAGAAATCATTAGGTTTTCCCTCTGTACTTGAAGCCTACTTCAGAAGGTCTCCAGTATGGCTTTTCCCAAGTCAAGGCTTGGTATTCTCTTGGCCTGTACTGCTAGAATGTCTCAAACTCAAATCTCACTGGTATGTCCATTGCCTGCACAGACTTTTCCATGAATGCTTCCTGAGTTTGTGGTTCATACAAGACATGGGAAAATTAGTGAATGAATACAAGCCTTGGGGCAATTAGCGAAATCTTGTTAACTTGGTTTCAGAAATCTTTTACCAGGGGACCCGTGGTAGCAGAGTCAATGTCATGCCTATGAGTATAGACTGGCATTTTATCACCTTCCAAGGCTGAGCAATCCATACCAGTTTGAGGGACTTTTCAATATGAGGATCCTGGAAACCAGATGGCTTCTCACCAAAGGGTTCCTTATAAGAAAGAGATTTGCCAGAAGGTTAGAAATAGACCTTTCCTACCCACTAGAGCAGTCAAAGGGTTGGAGCTTTATAAGACAGAGATGATGGGAAATACTAATTCATGTTCTTCCCAAGCCCTCACCTACCGAGCACCTCCCTGCTCCTGGTCCAGCGTCTCCAGTTTCATAACGTACTAATCATGGTTGACTTTTTTTTCTTGGAAGTTGGAGCTAAGAATAGGGAAAGCAGGGAGATTTTTCCTTCTCTTAAGTAACAAAGCTTGAGAGATTTTTTTTAAAATCTCATTTTTCATATCTATTTATAGAGCACCCATTATAGTATCTTGAATGAAGATTCCAGGACCCAGACAGAGAACAGTGACCAAAACCCAGGTTCTGCCTCCAAATTGCTCACGCAGTAGTGGGGGGAAGACTGTTCTCTGACAAGGACAAGTTCAGAAACTCACCTAGGGGCTGAGAGAACAGACAGGAGGTATCAGCCAGTCTGAGGGACTCAGAAAATGCTAGGAAATGCTGCAGTGAGAAAAGGGTACTGGAAGGAAGCTCTGAAGAATGAGTAGAACCTATTCTGATGAAGCTGTATGACCCTGGGCAGCTTACTAACACTTACGTGAGCTATAGTGTTTTTCTGGGAAGATATTTGTTAGCAGTGCTCTGCAGGGTTTGGGGGACATTGAATGAGGTTGTGTGTGATGGGAGCCTCACCCGGAACCTGGCACAGAGTGAGAGCTCCATACAGGGAAGCTGGGGGCTTAATGATGGTGATAATGATGATGATGATGAGGAGGAGGAGGAGGAAGAGAAATAACCCATAATAAGAAGAGAGAAGACAAGAGGGAGAAGAGGAGGCAGAGAATTCTCTTGTAGTTCCCTCATCCAACCTCATCCGGGACAGGCTTGCTGACAGTTTGGGGTGAGATTAGAGCACTGGTCAGCTTTGGCCTGAACATTCAATATGAAAATCAATAATATGTCACCTTCATAGTCTTTAAAATCTGATAGAAGAGGAGGATTGGCTACCCGTCCTCATCACTAAGTAGCTTAATCTCAAACACAGTAATACATTCGTACGAGAAGCAGAATTCCAAACTCACCCATATTTATTGTCTCCTCTCCCTTCTTTTCTCCTCCTTCCTTCCTTTTTCTTCCATCCCTCTTTTCTCTCCTTTTCTTTCTCCCTCTGTCTTTGCTTCTCTCTTTCCTTACCCTACTCCTCTCTCTCTTCAATCAGGTCATTCTCCAAGAAAAGAAGGCACAGGTAAGAGTCTTGCAAACTCTTGCTACTTGTTCAGCTTTCCTCTTCCCCGGCCAGGCTTTGGGCAGTTTCCTGGATTAGATCTCAGTCTCTGTCTTTGTGTTCCTGGGCCTCAGTTTCCACCAAAATGAAAACATATCTAGGTTTCTATGAGTGTTCTAGGCCAGCTTTTAACTTCCATTGGGCTTGGCGATTGCCCCTGGATTTGGCCCTCTGGATGTTTCTTCTGGAAAACCCCATTAGCTCTGCCTGAGTCTGTTTTACCACCACTTGAAATCTTGAGCTGGGACATATGCAGAATGCCTGTTCCATCACTCCACCTAAACTTTCCAAGAGCTGGCGAGAGACAGAGACCAAGTCCTGGTTTGTTGGAAACACCAACTGAACATAAATAGAGTTTTTAACTATCAGAGACTCACTGCAAAGCAGACCCTGCACCAAGCCCTTCTTCATATGCGTGTATTTAATCCTCATTTATTCCCGTCACAACTCTGTGCAGGAGATATGTTTACAGTCCTTGTTATACAGATAGAGAAGCTGAGACTAAGACAGGAGATGTAATAAGAATGTCCATAGAGCTAGATGCCATCAGCACCAAAATTCGAACTCTCATCTATCAGACAGGATCAGGACAGGTATCAGTGGCTTCTTAAATAGCAGTAGCCACAGGTACAGTACTTTGCTGAAGTCGAAGCCCTGTCACTTATTCATTTAATGCATAAGCAGTGATTGCCAATGTCACCCATCCACTTGGCTCCACAGCCTGAACAATGGCCCTATTTCATGGTTGAGTAAACCGGGTCTCAGAGAAGACAAGTAAGTTGTCATCTCATGGCAAGTAAGCAGCAGAGCTGGGATTTGACTCTGATCTTTCTGGAGGTCCTGCGCTGTTCTGTGGCTGAGGCTGGGTCTCAATGTGGAGACAGTTCCTGCGGCTATCTTAGGGGTGTGAGGCAGCTGGGTGAAATGACTTCCCCTTCCCAGGACAGCGATCGGTTCTGTGTGACCCTCTGAAGCCAGGCTGGCTGGAAGTAACAAAATAGCATTCACTTTCCTGGACCTCATTTGATTACCTGTGACCCTGAGTTCTCATCATTTATTCTATCCATAGCCAGGCTCTCTGGCTCAGAAATTTTAAAAAAAAAACAAAACCTGAATATCTGAATATGCATGTGCAGAATATTTCTGAATCTACCAAGTTACGTGGGTGTGACATTTCTCTTCTCTTACAAATTAAACTACACAGCAGTCAAAAAGTACCATCTCTGGGGACCCATGATCTGGAGCTACTTTCCAACTCACTTCTGTGATCCTGAACAAATATCTTAGCCATTCAAGGCTCAGTTTCCACATCTGTAAAATGGACCCTTATTAAATGACCCTTCCTCCCATAGTCTGTGGGAACAATAGAACGAGTTTGCTGATCTAAAGTATTTAGCAGAGTGTATAACCTATCATATAGCCTCCAAAAAATGAAAGATTTTGCTAGTATCACCTTTATTACCACTGTGATTTTTAACTTACCAAAGCCGAGCTTAGCATCCTCAGCTCTCTATTCTCAGCACACATGTGTGAGTCAGTATCCCTGTAGGGGCTTGCTGCATGAACAAGTTGACAGTGACTTCTCTGGTCTTGCACAGTGATCAGTGTCCTTCCCCAAACTGCTTGGATCTAGAGGCACACTGTATTCAGCATTTTAACTACTTGTTCATTTTTATCTTTAATTGCACTTTGGGATTATTTTGCATCTTTCAATTCATTGGACATTTCTTATTTAGCTCCTCTAGCCCAAAGAGCAAAAGAAGGGAAGAGAAGAGGCACAAGAAACAGTAAGTAGGCACCACCTGGAGTACACTCTGTGGTTCGGGAATCAGAGACAGTGCTTCTAGCAGCTAGAGTGGTGGATGGCAAATAAACAGGAAAAGGGAGGAGGGAGTAGATAACACGGAGTGATTAAGGGAAGGAAAGAAGGAGAAAGAGGAGAGGGAGCTGTGTGCGCACTTGCAGTTGTGGCTATGGGTGTGCATGAGTGCACCGGGTTGTGTATATGATACAGTGTGGATGTGGATGCATGTGCGTTTATAGCTGCATGTTCAGCTTGCATGTGTGTTCACTGTATGTGCACCTTGTGTGTGAACCGTGTACATATATATGTAGTATGTATATGTGTACTGTGCACATTGTAAATGTCTGCCTGTACATTTTGTCATGCAAACATTTGTGTATATTGTGTGCACAAATTCATAAAATGTGGGCATCTAGTGTGTATATGTGGTACCTCCTTGAGTTTACACAAATGCATTTGTGTGTCTGTGCTTGTTTCAGCATGTATGTGAGTGGTATGCCTAAAGGTGCACCATGAACTAGTGTGTGTGAATTCTATGCACTCTGCGTGTGTAGTGTTTATATACTTACATATCTGTGTGCGTTACACATACAGGGCATGTGTAGTGGGTTTCATGTCTGTGCTGTGTGTGCATGGATTGTGGGGTTCTGATCATGTGTGTGTACGTGTGTGAGCAAGTATGTGCATCCACACTGTGGCTCCTAAGTTTACAGTAAGGAGCTCTCAGTAGAGCTCTGGCCCCCAATCTCAAGGCCCCAGCTGTTTCAAGGTTTATAGCTGGTAGTAGAAATTCAAATCAGCCACTGGTGCCTGTGGAGTTCAGTTCCCAACCAAATTAAAAGTAACTTTGGTTACAACCCACCTATTTTATACTCTGCAAATGTTAGTGCATGCTTTCCAATCAACTAATATTTTATCTCCCGCCAAGAAGCTTCTAAAGAGAGGATCAAAGACAATAGGATGAAAGGTAGTTGGTTGCTGGGGAGGGAAAAGAGGAAGCAGGAGCACAGAAGGAGCAAGCCCAGCTTTGGCTGCCCCAAGGGGTAGTGTGAAGGAGGGCATTTCAGCAACTACCCCGCAGACCTGGGAAATGCTTTCCAGAGCTTCTAGTTAGTTGGGGCAGAGCTTCCCCAAATCAGTCTTGTTCAATGTAAGTCAAAATTGTTAATCATATATACTGAGTGTGATTTCATATTAACTAAGCAAGATAGAGCACATGTGCTCAGAGATCTCAGCACTACATGTGCAATGAGGCTACAGGATAGGCAGCCAAAGAGCACCAGGAAGGATGTGGTGGCAAGGTATCCTCCCTCTCCAGTGCCAAGGGCTGGATGAGCTTCAGAAATTGTGGACAGAGCCTCAGAAAGCTCGTGAAAGCCAGAGAGACACACAGACAGAGACAGAGACAGAGACATCAGGGAAAGCAAGCCATTTAAAACAAATAATGGTTTATTCTCACCAAGTCCATAGTCATAGATGTCTCTAAAGCACTGAAGTGATCCAGCTCCCTTTTACTCAACAGCCCTTGGTGTGGCTTAATATGTGGCTGCCCCATACTGGACTCAGGGACAGAGGTGAGCAGACATTCTCCTGGTGTAGCGGAGCCCACAGTGGACAGATACAGGACAGAGGTGGCAGACAGAAGCCTGGGCCACAGGGATTTCCTGCAGGAGAGCATGTCCAAGCTGAGGGCATGGATGGGAGACTGTTCTAGGTTAAGCTGGCAATTTGAGCTCTCTGGGCCATTTCTTCATCTGTTAGATGGAAATAACGAGAAAAGCTACATCCTAAATTATTGTGAGGCACACTGTGGCCCTTGAACAAAAATGCTTGAAACACAATGCATGTCACAAAGTATGTGTTAGACATGGCTGACCTGTCATTGTCATCGTCACCAACACCAGGACATCACGAACTGGGAAATGTGCTGGTCAGGATACAGGCAGAGAGTTACACATCCAAAATTGTTTGAATCTGCCAAGCCAGGGCAAAAACATCAAAACTTGGGGCCAGAGAGCAGGGCAGTAGTTAGTACCTGAAGATGCTTCAGTTTCAAAATCAGAGTTTGAACTGGATAGAAGGGTAACGGGAATGTTTTAATAGAGGGAAGAGACATAGCCTAATGATTATATTACAGGAATCTCTGTATCCTTTCTTGAGATAACCAGACTGCCTCTCAATAAAATCATCTCTAAATCCCACTGGCTTCCCAAATAGTTGACATTCTTTGTGCATCCTTCTTTTAATTTAATTTTATTTTATTTTTTGGTGCCTGGAATGGAATTCAGGACCTTGTGCTTGCCAGGCAGGCACTGTACCGCTGAGCTATATATATCCCCAGCATCCTTAATTACCACTGCCGCCGCTAGTACCACTTCTGGATTATTATTATCGGTTACAAGAAGCTGAACTAACCTGTAGTAATTCCATTATAGTGGTGATGGTAGTAATCCTTGATGATTATGTTTATAGCCCATTCTGAAAGGCTTTCTATTCCATGCTAAGGTTCTGGACTTTATTTCCAGGTCTGAGGTTACAAATTGGCTGCCCAAAGGCTTAATTTCCTCTGCAAATTGTGTTTTGTTTTCCTCAAAATGTAACTTTCTTTTTTTTTTTTTTTAAAAAAAAGGACCTTTCATTCAAATAGGAATATTTTACATTAAAAATATCTATGTTTTCACATTTGCTTGAAAAATTAAAACATCCAGCATACCACTGTTCTGGAGGTAAAGCAGTCCTTTCAATATTTCAGCCCAGGCCTTGGGCTGGTCATTTTTTTTAGTGGCTAGCTGATCCCTGATTTAGGTACCTGACTGGTCCGGGAAGCTGAAGGAAAAGGAGACTACTGTTTCCCTTGAGGGACAGGTGGGGTGGGGAGTGGGTTTTTGCCCCGGGGTATGATCCCCACCAGGTCTGCGTGCGCTGGGGGGGGCGGCGGGGCAGGCCTTGAGTCATCCACGTTCCCTCCAGAGAACCTTTTCTGTTCTGCTCTGTTTAGTACCGCTAGGTGGAGACCCCTGAACACCCAGAAAGCTGGGGTGGTGCAAACTGGGGGTCACAGACCTGTGGGAGGGGCTGTGACTGCTCGAGAATGAAACGGATGTTTGTCATAAGATAAATTCATTCTCTCTCTCTCTCTCTCTCTCTCTCTCTCTCCTTACTCCCTCTCCTTACCCCTCCAAGATCCCGAAGCCGGCCCCGAAAGTCTCACCGCCACCGCCATCACCGCTGTCCCTCTCGGTCCCAGAGCTCAGAGTCTCGCTCCTCCAGCTATGAGAGCAGGTAACCTCTTGCCCAGAGGAGCCCTGTCATCCTACCTGTGCTCTGAGATCTGGCTAAGGCCCATGGCACTGTGACCCCCAGCTTTGCTCAGTGCTGCCCCTGTCCTGCTCTCAGCAACTGACTTGCTCAGAGAAGGGGCTCCAGTGCAGACTGAGGCTGCCTCACTCACTGGATGGGCAGCAGCACTCACGAACCCAGATACATGCTTTCTAAGGGCCTTGATGCTGCACTTTGTATATGGACTCACAAGATCCTCTCTACACCGCATTGAAGAAGGTACTACTGTTACTCCCTTTCTAAAGATGAGGAAACTGAGATACAACCCTGACACTGAGTTACGGTAGAGAAAATTGCGTGTTGGCGGGCAAAGAGACCTACAAGTACAAGGTGCAGGGTACGAAATGAGACACTTGTTCATCATTTAGCATAAGTGCCAGATCAAGTGTTGACACAAAAGCATCCCACACGAAGTAAGGGAAGCTCTGAGCAGAGAAGCTGAGCCACCTACTCAGGGTCACACAGCTCAAAGGAGTAAGTGCCAAGTAATGAGGCCCTTCCACATCACATTCCTCCTAACCCGGGCCGTCTCTACGCTGATGCACTGACTATCCCAGCCGGAGAAGGGAAGAGAGTTTCTCCTGTGGATGAGAAGAGGAAGGAGCAAGAGAAGAAAAAGGACAGGGACAAGAATAAGAACCAGAAGGAAACAGGGTTTTGCTGTTGATGGTGTTGGGGATTGCAGAGGTCCAGCAGGAACGCCAGGTCCAGATCCTGATGTCCAGGGCTGCTTTGCTCCTTCTGAAGTGCTTCTGACACTTGGCTACCTGGGAGGAATTTAAAATCTCGGTGTCTGGGGTCCCACCTTCCGCCAGGGAAATCAGGAGGGCTGAAGGAAAAGAGAAGAATGGAAGCATGAAGGGGAGAAGAAGGAGGGGAACAAGGAAGGGAAGGAGGAAGAGAGAGAGAGGAGGAGTAAGACGAGAAGGAGGACAAACAGGAGAGAGGAAAGCAAGGAGGGAAAGAGGATGAGAATGAGGGAAGGAGAAGAACGGGAGGAGGAGGAACAGGAGAGAGAGAAATGGAGGACACGCTGGAAGAAGAGAAATATTCACTCAACTCTTGCTCTGTGCCAGACACTGCGCTCCAATTCCGAATACTTTTTCCCCCCCGTAAACATCCAGCAGAGGCATGAACTAGACCAGTGCTTCTCCTTTTCAGCGGCACTTTTCAATAACCCCAGGGATTTAAAAAAAAAAAAAAATGGCAATGCCTGGGTCCTACCTTCTAGCCACCCTCCTGTAATTCAGACCCAGTGGTGTCAGGGTGGCGATGTGTTCAAATCTCTCCAGACATTGTAAGCACATAATTCCATGTGGGACGCAGTGGAGACAGGAACCCCTGACACGCCCTGTTATAAGCTGGCCTCGATATCTCTGCTAAACCCTGATGGCCAGCATCACCATCACATGGGGCTATGCTGTGATCTTCATTGTGCAAGACAAAAATGGGACCCCTCTATGTTTAGACCTGTGCCCACATGAAACAAGAACTTTGTCCCAAACACAACATTGTCCAAATGCCTGTCTGTCCAGCTGGTTTGAGTGGCTTCTGTTTTTTAGGCAGTTAGGTGGCCTTGGTCTAGTCCTCTCTTTCTAGATAGCACGGATGTAGGTGCCCAGCCACTGAATTACTCTGCCTTCTGCAAGCATCTGATTCAGAATAGAGTCCTAGTCCCTTTGTGGCTCTCCCAAACCACCTACTGCAAGCCAAAGGCTATGGTAGGCTCATTTTAACACCCTCTTACAGAGACATCCCGCACTCCCCTGTGCTATGCATGCCCCATCACTGCAAGGCTTGTTCAGATTCGCATGGATTCCTGAGCTAAACCACATCACGGACAAGTTATAGCTGAGAAAACTGCCTGTTGGTAAGCAGAGAGATCTAAGTGAGATCCCACAGCTAGAATGTTGGGACAAGTACACAGTTCTGAGTGACTCACCCTGATTGCTCCACCTCCACGTTGCGCCTCCTGGCTAAGCCCTCCTGGCCTAGGCCAGAGAATTCTGCAGAGACCCAGCAACTTACTTGCTACAGAAATGGTTAACATCGCAGACACCAGCCCTAGGCATCCTGCTGCCGTCCTGTTTCCTGACGGTGTTGCCCCCTGAGTGCTTCTGGAGTTGAAGGGCTCTGCAGAGGGCCTGAGAGTAAACTGAAAGCTGACACATGGGAAGCACACCCAGTGGAAAAGTGATCTGGAAGAGCCCAGAGCAGAGAAGGGCAGTCCAGAGCAACAACCAGAAAAAACAGGTCATTTCCTACAGGTGCAAAAAACTGTTCTGGCCCTGCTATTTTTAAGCTGTGTGACCTCAGGCAGGATCCTAAATGTCTCTGAGCTCTCAGCTCCCTCATCTGCAAAATGGGAAAGTAGTACCTGATCTGCTTATATCTTCAAGTTGTAGAGAAGACTCTGGTTCGTTTGTTTTCTGGTTTTTGGGTTTTTTTTGTACCGGGAATCGATCTCAGGACCTTGCGCTTGCCAGGCAGGCACTTGTGCCACTAAGTTATATCGCCAACAAGTAGAGAGGACTCTGAAAGCACCTCAGGAGGGGTTTCTAGGTGCTGACCAAATCCATACAATGTCATTTCTCTTTCCTACTGTGTCTCAGGGAGTTGATGAGGCATGCTCCAAATGTGTCATTCTAAGGGTCACACATGCCCCTGATTTCAGTGCAGAAAAGGCAGCCAGATCTAAATTTAACAAGCTTGTAGACGCTCTTTCTGGATTTTTGTCCAGTCATCTTTTCTCCAATACTTTGGTAACATTGAATGTTTGCCTCCATTTCATGGAAGGAACACAGACAGTTACATTTATAGAGAAACTCAGGGAAACACGGGCAGACATGCCCAAACATACACACAGTCACATGGCAGAAAATCACACAGGGACATGAAGGAATCAGAAAGAACCTTTGCTCTATCACACATGAACTTCAGCCCCTCAAACAGTGTCATGTACAAGAATAAGCAGTTATCAATCAAATGAGATAATGAATGAATAAATGAATGAGTATTGACTGGATGGATAGACAGATGACTGGGTAGATGGATGAATGAGTGGGCAGAGGGATGGATAAATGGATGGATGGATGGATGGGTGGATGGATGGATGGATGGGTCAGTGAGCAGGTAGATGGATGCATGAATAGATGTATGGATAAATATACACACAGTCCAGCTTTTTCACACACACACATTCAAACATACCCAGGGACTAAATCATATGAACATCTACAAGCACACCCAAACACATTATCATCTTCAAATGATATGTTGGTCCTTCAATCTTCTCTCTATCCTGCTCACCTTCAAAAGACCCTCAGGTCTCTCTCCCCTGCCTCCAGGCACCGAGGCCGGTCCCCTGAGGAAGGGCGGAGGTCCCGCCAAAGGCACTCCCGCCGCTGCTCCAAGACCCTCGGCAAGGCCAGCCCTGAGGCCCGGTCCAGCCACCCACCCAGCCAACCTCTCCAGATGCTCAGCTTCCTGTCGGCCAGGGGTGTAGTAAGTATTCTGTACAGCCTCCTCTGCCAGCCTTGCCGCAACACTTGGGGGAGGTGGAGGTACAAGTTCAGGGAAGTGTATGACACATTTTAATTCAGTTTTGGGCAAAATATCCCACTGGCTCTAGACCTCATTACTGATTAACCAAATGGTCATTCAGCAGGCTTTGGCAGCATTTGGCTTGGGGATTTGGGGGCAGAGGAATAAGAACTAAAATACTCAGGATCTTTTAGAAGGGGGATGTTCTATAATAAATATTGGTCTCCAGAGTGACACGTGCAAGGACACATGTATGAGATATCATAGGAGATCTCTTTGACAAGGGAGGAAAACAAGGGTCTTTGACACGACAGAGGCTCTAGTTTTTCCTCAAATTCTGCATCTTTTATGCCAGCTGGCTGGCAGCATTTGTCGGCAGCTGGAATTTGATTCCAACCATAAATACGACCTTGAATTTATATGAGAATTTTCCTCTAAGGAGCTCATAATACTTGACCTGTCTCTTCTCATGTGTCCACACAAGGTCTTGAGGACTTGAGGGAACAGCTACTGTCAGTCGTCCCTTCCACATATGAAACAGAAATACCAAGCTCAGAAAGGTTACCATGGGGGGTAAAGTCACAGAGCAAGGCAAGTCCAATTTAACGAAGTGGCCCTGGAATGTGCCTGCCACATTCCCCTGGGTCAATAGGAGAAGCTGGAATTTGATTTCACTGTGAGCAAGAGATGTAGAGACGGTTCTGAATTTAAGTCCTAGCTTTGCCACTTCCTAGCTGTGTGGCTTTGGGCAAGTGATCTAGCCTCAATTTTCTCATCAATAAGCTTGAAGTAATATCACTTGCATATGGGACTGTCGGGCATATCCACCAAGACAAAGCAGGTGAAGGCTTACTATAGACCCCAATGGGACAGACAGACAAAGAGGGCAAATGTCAGTGTTGGTACAGCTACTACTTCAGCCAACAACTATGAAAAGACCTTTTTGTCCAGCTACATGAGAATTTGAAAACTTCATGGAGCTGCCTCTTTGGAAAGGATGAGGTAGAAGCAAGGAAAATTTCAAGGTTGCTTGCAGGGTGGTCAAGAAATGTGAGGCAGTGATAAACCACAGAGAGCCCTGCTTGATATAATAGTTATCCGGAGCACATTCTGGGAAGCTCTTCTTCTCCACTCAAGCCACCTTGTGTCACCAACATCTCAGTTTGTTCTAAATCCTTCCCTACCTGGGCGCATCCACACGCTCCCCAGATGCCTTCATTGTGAGGAGGTCCATGGTTACTGAGTACTTGTAGGGGGCAAGTACACACTTACATTCTCTGCTCCCTAAATGTCCCACAGTGGCGTCTCCCAGCCAAGTGTCGTGGTGCACACCTATAATTTCTGCACTCTGGGAGGCTTAGGCAAGAAGATCACAACTTCAAGCACAACCTGGGCAATTAGCAAAACCCAGAGAGAAAGAAAGAAAGAAAGAGGGAGGGAGAGAGAAAGAGAAAGAAAGAAAGAAAGAAAGAAAGAAAGAAAGAAAGAAAGAAAGAAAGAAAGAAAGAAA